ATATTCATGAATTGTCGAGCATAACTTAATGCCTCTATGGATAAATTCCTTGCTCGATCTATATCCAGATTCTTTAAAATTCCCTTGGTATATTTTAAAAAAACATCAAGGTGATGATCGGTGATACATTCACAATAAGCAATATCAAGAGTTTCGATTTTCGCTGAACAATTAATAAAAAATTTCTCAAGACTTTCTGGTGTAAATACCCAATTTGACCAAATCTTTAATAATTTTAAAGATGATGGAATACATTTTCCAAATAATGGTAAAATTTCATTTGCTTCTACTTCTTTATCTCTATCAATATCAAATGATCCATCTTCTTCTTTCGTAATACTATCAATTAAAATGCTAGTTAATTTTTTGCATGATTGAAGTAATCCGTAAAGATTATCGTAATGTCCTTCATCTATTGTTACACTCAATTTATTAATATTTGGACAGTGTAAAGTTATTGCTTTGATTATTATATGAGTATCGAATGGCATTAATCCACTTAATTCAACTTCTTGAATTTTAGAATTAGCTGCTTGAAAATAAAATGCTAATAATTTTCCTGGTAAAAAAGTATCTCTTAATGTGATTTTGTATAATTTACTTAGTGATTGAATTTTTTCAATGTTATAAAATTCATCCTTTGAATCATTTTCTAGAGATTCACATTCAACGATCATCAAAGTTTTCAATTGATAACATTTCGTTAAAGATTTTAAATCTTCACAATTAAATCTTCCTCCTACTAACTTTATATGTTTTAATGATGATTTGTGACTTAAAGCTCTAGCGATCATGTTGAGATTATCATAACAATCCTCAATTGAAATGTCACATAAAAATTTTTGAGCATTAATTAAATTCACCATTGATGTTAATTCACTATTTGTTCGTATAACTGAAACTGATAACTTATTAATATTATTTTGAAAAATAATAAAAATTAATAAAAAGTTATTTGTAGAATTGTTAAAATTGTCTTTTTTTAACATTTTTTTTTTTTTCAAAAGAGTAGAAAAAATAGAAAAAGTAAAAACAAACAAAATAAAT